GCGAAGTCCCTTCAGCAATGCATTGAAGGTTGTTACGTCTGCGGGCACATGCTTCTCGCTCATCCAATCAAACAGTTTAATTGCTAAACTAGCATTTCTGCTCTTGCAGAGAAAGTCGATCAGAATATTGTATATCACAGTGTTGGGCTGAACACCAGATTCATCCATAGACCAGAAAATCTGCAACGCCTCATCTATTTTACCAGCTTTGCAATATCCATGTATAAGTGTACCAAAGGTGACCACAGAAGGCCGGCAACCATCATCGATCATTTTCCCCATCAATTCATCCACAGCCAAGAAATCTCCTGCTTTGCACGAACCAGACAACAAGGTAGTGTAGGTGTACACATCTGGCCGGAGACCAGCTTCCTTCATCTTCCCAAGCCACTCATGAGCCTCACACAGTCTGTCCTCCTTATAAAACCCACCAATCAAAATATTGTATGCTTTTGCATCCAGCTGAAAGCCTGCCTTCTTCATCGACGACGCCATTGAGCAAGCATCCTGCAACCGCCCTGCTTGTGCCAATCCCAATATCATGATGAAATACATGGTTTTCTTTGGTGGTTGCCCTTCTTCTGTCATCTCATGGAACAACTTCATGGCTACGTCCACATTTTTAGTGCGGAGCAAAGCCTGAACCAGAGTGCTGTAGGTCACCGCATTGCCCCTGGCTTCAGGCCAAATTGTTCTTTTCTCCCTGAAGAACTCCAGCGCAGCCCAAACCCTCCCTGCCCGGCACAAGGCGGCCACAATCATGTTCAGAGTGAAGACATCCGGTGACAGGCCCTCCCTCTCCATCCTCCCAACCACCTCGCATGCCATGGCAACATTCCCCGCACGGCAAAATGCATCGGCCAAGCAATTGTAAGTAAATGTGTCGGGTGCATGTCCATGCACACTCCTCATCCGCTCCTCCACAAATGTCACGGCCTCTTGGACCCTCCCACTCTTGCACAACCCGTTCACCACCGTGTTCACAGTGACGACATCCGGGCGCACGTCCGAGTCTGAACCAGACATTCCATCGAGCATCCTGAGGGCGTCCTCCACGCGGCCAGATTTGCAGAGGCCATTGACAAGTATGCCGTAGGTGACGGCGTCAGGCCTGACAGCGGCGGCCCGCATGGAGTAGAAGAGCTGGGTCATTCTCGGCAGGTCTCGGGCTCGAGCGAGCGGGGCCAAGAGTTTGTTGAAAACAGAAGTGTCTGGCGGCGGGGCGCCAGCGGCCAGGGAGGCACAGAGGAAGCCGGCGGCTTGGACGGGAGAGGAGGGACGACGCGCGAGGATCTTGGATAAGAGGGCGGAGAGGACGGGCGCGGAGGGGGGCGGGAGGCGGTGGCATGAGGGGAGGGAGAGGAGGAGCGCGA